ATGTGAGTTTTCATGGATCAAGTCCACTTCTTCAAACATACAGAAAAAATGAAATACAGCATTCACAAGTAAGGCATTCAGAACATTTATTGGGTTTAAGAATCTTAGGTGTACATTTAACGTGCAGTAATGTATGGCTTTTGTTTGTTTACATTGTAAACATGTTTATGTTGTAAACATTCCAACAGTTGTAAACATGTTTACAACATAAACATTTGTTTACGTTGTAAACATGTTTACGTCATAAACATTCCAACAGATAACAGAGCAGGGGAAGGGGGTTTGGTGGTATTGTGAAGACCAACTGTGAGCAGTAACAGGAATAGAGGATATCAGTCAAAAATCCAAGGGGGGGATGAAGGTGGGGAAATATATAAATAAAAATAAAAACCGATAACAGGAATTATCTGAGTTAATATAGAGAATATTAAGAGTTAATATAAATATTATGAGTTTTTACCTTTGAACCTTGTAAGGAATGATGAGTCTGGTAGTTGTGAAAGAAAATAGCAGTAGATAACAGCAGAAGTATTATATTTGGTAATGACTTAAGAAATCTAGGCTTATAGTGAATCCATTTTTATGGGTGCCCATCATGTGTATAAATTTTATCTCAGCTGTTTCCCTCTTTATTCTTGATCTACAGTGTTCAAAATGACCCTTCTGTCTGCCTGGGAATTGCTGTGGACCAGCCTACAAACGTAGTAGCCTACGTTGGAGATGGATCAGGGTTGGGCTGGCGTGCATTTCCCCATAATGGGGAACTGAATCACCACCAGACTGCTCCACAAGTGGTCCAAATCATAACGTATTTCTCCATGTGATCCCACCCCTTAGTTGCTGAACTGGTTTTGTTATGCTGCAACTACAAGCGTGGAAGGCGTTGCCCAACTGGGAAGGGTGGTGTTTTTTTTCCATAGAAACTCTTTTCCAAACTTTCATTTAAATGCAAGAAAATTTCAAAAGCATTGTTCTGCTGTACTGTTTGATATTCAAAAGATGGAAAAGAGCAGCAAAGCGTGTAAACTGTAAAAGGTAAAATGCAAACAAAAAAACCCAAAACAAACCTAGAGCACTAAAAAGAAATAATTGATGATGTCTGGAGTGGGAAAGTATGAAGACAGATGGAACTGGGTGGAGTGTAATGTAATTAGGATCATATTTGCATAGTGATTAAGAAATAAAACAAGCTGAAACTTATCTGTTAAACTCTTCACAGTAGATTTGGCATCATAATAGCTTACCCAATTCAAAAGTGAAGTTTATAGCAGATGAAAACTGTGTCAGACAGAAACTGCATGCTGTTACTTAGAAGTTGATATCACAAAGCAAGTACTGTAGTTGTTTTCTTTACGTTTTAGAGGAGAGAAGAACAAAATGCAGCCTCAGGGCCTTATGCAGCCCTCAAAGGGCAATTTTGTGGCCCTTGACTTTTTCCCAGCCCTCTTTCTTTTCTTTTCTTTTTTTCTTTTGGCAAAAAGGAGGCAAATAGGGTACCTTGAAAATCTGCAGAATTTCTTAATAGGTCACAGGGCTCATCCATTCCATTTTATACCACCATCGCCCCCCCCGGAACCCATTAACTTCTAACCACTTCCAGATTCACCTTTTGTAGTGGTTGACAACTTGTACTGGTCTGCAAAGCTTCCTGTATGGTGGTGGGGGTGCAGAACATGGATCCCTGAGTCCACGGAAGTTGTCTACCCTTCTATTAAAAGAAGAGTGAGAAATTTTATTTGCATAGCCAAAGGGGAGAGACAATGGCAGGTCAATTCAATAAGCAGTGGGACTATTTTATAAGAGCCCTAATTGCATTCAACATAAAATTACCTTTTGCTTCTGAAGGAAGTACCCTGTTTCCCCCAAAATAAGTCCTAACCTGAAAATAAGCCCTAGTATGATTTTTCAGGAAGCTTGTAATATAAGCCCTACCCCAAAAATAAGCCCTAGTTAAGTGAAACCCTGCCCTCCACCGTTGTGCAGCAACCAGAAGATGACATGACTGTAAAGTATTTGAATAAATGTAGATGGTTGTACATGAAAAAAAATACAGCCCCTGAAAATAAGCCCTAATGCTTTTTTTAGAGCAAAAATTAATATAAGACCCTGTCTTATTTTCAGGGAAACATCGTAGCTTCTGAAAATCCCAAGCCCTCCTCCCAACTAAAAAATGGAAGTGAAGGGGAGGAGGGATAAGAAAAAAAGTTGGAAGAGCCTTATTGACTGGAACCCATGTCACTAACTAAATTCCCTCTTCTCCTATGATCCTAACAAAAATCAGTCTCCTGCCACACTACCGCTGGCCAAATTGCAGAGGAGTTCTATATATTTTTGTGATTTTTCCCCCTTCAAAAATGAATGCTGGATGCAATTTTAAGAGTACACATAGTTTAACATGAAGGGGAAAGCCAAACGATCAGCTGATGAAGCATTAAAATGTATGTTGATAGTGCAAGTGTGTTTTTCAGAAGTGATGAGGATGAGGATAATGATTCTACTTTGGTGATTTAATGTTAAGTATCTTTTGTTACTCTCCCATTATTGCCATGATCAGATATTTAAATCTAGTATGGTGTATCTGTGTACTTTTCTTTTTGCAAAGTTTTGAGTTTCTGATAAAATTCCTTTCCTATGCAATAGAAATACAGAGATCCATGAAGGAGAATACATACAAGTTCCCCTGATAGTACACCCCTTTCTCATTAACTGGAGCTGAAAGTTTCAGCAACTCACAGACATTTGTTGTAAAACAAATAAAAACATTTCATTACTTAACAGTTGTAAACAGATCAATAGCAAACTGACAAACTTGACTTCCAACAGACTAAAGAGGGGGAAAGAAACACCATCTGAGAGGAGGAGCTCTATTTGAATTCAGAGGCAGAAGGGAACGATTGGTTCATGCTAGATAGATTGACAGTCCCTCCAGCTCAGAAAAGCCCCTCCCACTCACTCAGACCACAGGCGGCATGCAAAGTTCAAACAAAAATCCAACAGTTTTGTGAATTCTACTGTGAAGAGGATGTAATCTCTGTTGAACACTAATGGAGGTCTCCATCACCACCATGTAAATGGCTTTAAGGGAATTATTTTCATCAGGATTACAGGATGAATGGGAATCAAACTCTCCTCCCTAAATTCCCTTCCATCCGGTTTCTCTTCCATTCCCCACATTTTCCCTTCCCCACCCAGCTGCTATTTACATTTTTAAATAATGCACATTCTCATCATTAACATCCATCTCTTATTTGGTCCTGTTGCCTCAGGCAGAAACATATTTCACATATATAACATTGATAATTCTAACATCATAGATCTCAGTTTGCATTGTATCCTGACTTTTTTTTTTTAAATTAATTTACCTGGATTGCTCTGTAACAATGTTGTTCACATGTTAAAAAAGAAGCAATTAAATAGAACTGTCCAAAACAGGGAACTATGCACAGCCAAGGAATAAACGTGAAGGAAAGGCATCATCTCATGCAGAATTTCACAGTTTCTCTTTCTAAATCCCACAATTGCCTTTAATATGTCATGAAACAATTTCGCTTGGGGTAGGTGGGGATAATCCACCTTTAGGGATTTTAATACTTAAGCAAACGATATCATATTTACCTCCTTCTCTTCAGAAACTAAGAGACTTGCTTTCTTCACGACTTTGGCTCCGCTTTCTGGGGGAACAGGAGCACAAAAACAATTGCCACACCTGCTAATTAATATTCCGGCTGCAGGTGACCTCACGGTGATATTTTGGCATATCCTCTTGCTGCATGGAATAAGTTTTTGTGACCCTGATTGTAGAGCTCATTATCCAAAAGCCAAAATCGTTTTTGTGACTTTTCTGTATTTTAATGCAGCCTGAATCTGTTTTTGTTAAAAAAAAATGGCTCTTGATTAGCTTTTGGGCAGACTTTCTTCATTCGCATGGAATTACACCAAACTGAACGGAGTGTTCTTGGAATAGGGAAGCAGGAGGCAGCCTATGCAAGTTGTAACAAGTTGGAAGCATGATGGGAATGAGCAGGCTAATTTCTGAGCCTGTTGCCTGGATGCACCTCTCCCATTAGGACACTTTATTCTGCGTCTGCTTACTTAAAATTGAAGTCACTAGAGATACTTATCTGCACAATACTGAGAAGGGGCAAAAAGAGAAGACATCAAAGCCGGAATGAAAAGTTGAAACTTTTCATTGAAACTTTCAAAGAAAAGTTGAAAGATTTTTTAAAAAAAAATTCTTAAAATATATTTATCATCACTATTGCTGATTGTTAATAGTGGGGAGGGGGGGTTTCCATAGGAGTTCCTGTCAGTTTAGCCGCCAGGGGTAGAACTTGGGAAAAGGATCACAGAGAGTCTATTTTACCCTCATGGGCCAGAAGCCCCACTTCGAGAGATCTGAGGGATGTCCATCCTCACCCCTAGACTTTACCTCATGAGAGGGCCCCAGCTCTCCTGACTTCCCAAATACTGTATAAAGTTTATGGGGGGTTTATTGGTTTTTAAATAGGACTCTAAAATGGGGGGGGCTGAGGTTCAAGTGTTGAGGGCCCAAAACACAACAAAAGTTCTTACTGTGCCTCATAGAAGGAACAAGGGAACTTCGTGAGCATTTTTTAAAAAATAAAAATTAATGGGAGTAGATGAGTGGGCGAAGCAAGAGTTGCTAGAGGCTGCAGGCCCTTTACAGACCACACTTTGCCATCCAATGGTCTTAATAACCCATTTCATCCAATATCACTTTGAGTTGGGAAGCTGAGAGAATCTTTCAACCAAGTGGTAGTGGCCTTACAATTTTCCTTGACCAGCGACACAGTCCAATCTTAACAATTCTATGATTCAAGGCAGCTGGAACCACTTCTTAACTGAATGAAGAAGCATCTATAAGCTTCTAAACCTATTTTAGTAATATATTTCACCATGGTTTCACTTGTTCACTGCATGAAAATATTAATTTTTTTAAAAAAATCAGAAATATGTTTCCAGGGTGCATTACCAAAACTGGTCCCTAGGGGGAGCCAGAGGCTATGCTATATATCAGATTTGCTATATCTGCAGTTTTCCACATCTGCAGGGGCTTGGGCCAATCACCAGAGGATACTAGGGTCCTACTGTATAAATATTTCTCTTTTTAGACAAATTGTCTTGCTTTTTTTTTTTTTTTTTTTTTTGACAGTATGACTGGTTTCGAAATACCATCCTTAGGCTCCTTTCCAGATGGCTCCTCATTTTCCCTCCCACACCATTCAACCTGGTTTTGTTCCCTCATGAAAGATGCTAGACCTCATGACCCATACATAGGATTTGGTTAGCTAATATACTGTAGAGTAATCTCTGAGCTGCCTCTTTGTCCCATCCCAGCCAAGCCGCCTACGAGAACATTTCCTTCTTCTTTTAGTATGGGTGTTGCTTTGTAGTGTCTCCATAGATACCACTCTGAGAGATCTTCCTGAGATCAGATGAGATGCTATAGTCCTCAAACGTCTAGTTATTTGAATTGCAGGAAAGCAATATGTTTGTTGTGCTACTTTGTTTGCAGACACCTATTTTTCATCACTTGATGATTCACCAATGACTGTAAGAACAGAAAGCATTGTGTATGCAGTGGTTTGGGATGCATGACAGCTCACTCAGATGTGACTCCCAGGTGCAGGTGCCTCACCTAACTTTTCATCATTTGCTGTCTTTTACCTCATGTGAACAAACACCATTGAAACATTCTTGTGTCTGAGTCAAAATGATATGATGGGAAAGTTCCACGTATCTGTCATATAGAAACCCACTCCGTCTCTCCATACTCTGTCCTAACAGCAGTTTCTTGAACACATTACAAGTTACACATCAGGACAATCAAGTTCTGAGGCACACCCATTTCCTTCAGAACAACTCATAGTTTCTCATGATCTTTACAATCAATGGCTTTGCTGTAATATATAAAGCACAGCCTGATTTTCTTCTGAAGTTCTTTGATATGCTCCAACAGCCAGCTGATATTTGCAATCCAGCCACATATTTTGGGAATCTAGCTTGAACATCAGGCATTTCTCACTCCATATAATGTAAACGCTTTTGTTGCAGCACCTTCAGCATCAGTTTGCTTGCATGGAAAATTAAAGCAATGGTTCTTTAAATACTGCACTCCTTGGCATCTCCTTTCTTGGGGGTTGGAATGTTCATTAAACACTTCCAGTCTGTGGGCCATTATTTTGTTCTCCATCTTTGTTGGCATATTCTTGTTAAGATTTTGGAAG